CTCTCTCTCTCTCTCTCTCTCTCTCTCTCTCTCTCTCTCTCTCTCTCTCTCAAGTTTTTTTGCTACTGGGGGCAATGAGAGGGTTCAGTGGGTACAAGTGATTGCTGCCAAACCTCATGACTTGAGTTCAATCCTTGCCACATACATCATAGAAGGAGAAAACCAATTAACCAAAGTTGTCCTCTGACCTACACACACACACACACCATATACCCATACACACACATACAGAAAATAATAAATAAATGTAAAAAGAACCTTTGACCCGGCGTGGTGGTGTAAGACTGTCATTGCAGCCATTCAAGAGGCAGGAGGGTTACAAGTTGAAGTCATATATGGCTAGACCAGTCTGAGCGACTTAACAAAGCATGACGGGAAATCAAAAACTGGAAATCAGTCCAGAGAATGGGTTAGTGGATAAAGTGCTTTCTGTGGAAACGTAGGGATTTGAGTTCAAATCCCAACTCACATATTAAAGCCCACTGGGGTGGGAAGAACCTGTAACCCCAGCACTTGGGAGGCAGCAGAAACAAGAGAAGTCTAGGAGTCACAGCCAATGTGCTGATTTGGCGATCTTCAGCCTCAGTGAAAGCCCCTATCTCAAAACATGGTAAAGAGTAGTAGAGGAAAAAACCGGAGGTCAACATCTGTCCTCCAATGTGCACACAACTCGGGTGAGGGTAACACACACACACGGGGGGGGGGGCCCCCCCCCCCCGCGATGAGGTATGGCCCACCTAGAATCCTCCAGTGAGGGGCTGGGGGTGTGGCTAGGGGTGGAGCCTCTGGTTGGGGTCCCATAGCACCTCACAAAACACTCAAATAAATGCACAAAACCAACAAATTAGGTATGTAGAGTTTACACTAGAACCTGGTTTGTGCTAGCTTGCCTGACTACCCCAGAAAAGGAAGTCAAGGATTTAGTTGGCAGCCTTTGCTCTCAGGGTCCCACAAAGATAGCGTCCCTTCTTAGGGCCTACCTGTGTGCAATGGCCAGTAGCATGCAGCCATCCACCGGCCTCCTAACCAGGCAGTGTCCCAGGTCACGGCGGAGCCGCACCCACAGCAAGGGTGGAAAGCGCAGTAGCTCTTTGCTGGGTGGCGTCCAGTCCCGGTACACAGCCTGCAAGACTTCATCATCCAAAGACAACACATCCTTCAGCTCTGCTTCTGAGAGACCGTACCTATGGGTGAGGGGGCGTAGCACATTGTGACCTGTGAGAAGGATGTGAGGGAGCAGGTAGGCAGCTTCTGTCGGGGAATACCCAGATCAGCATTGGACTAATACACCCCTCGAGTACCAAGGACTGGCTGATGCGCAAGTCACTGCAGACACGCCCTCTTCATACACATCTGCAGAACCATGCACAGGCCACTCTCCAGGCTCAGAGGGGTCTCAGTTGTATGGTGACAAACCTCTGTTATCGCAGCACTGGGGAGATGGAGCCAGGAGGATCAGGAGCTTAAGGTCATCCTTGGCTACATAGTGAGTTCTAGGACAGCCTGGGCTACACACACGCACAATTTTTTAACAGCTGGAGAGATAGCTGAGTAAAGAGCCTTTTGGAGAGAGGGCTGATATCAATTCCCAGCACCCAAGTCAGACAGCTCCTGAAGGATATGACCTACAGTGAGGTGCACAGACCAGCACGCTGACATGCACACAACTATAAGAATAAATATTTTACAGCAGGGCATGGTAGCAGGTATTGGGAAACAGAAGTAGATGAATCTCTATGAATTCAAGGCTAGCCTGTCTACATAGCAAGTTCCAGGACAGCCATAGCTATGTAGAGAGACACTGTCTCAAAAACAAACAACAACAACAACCAAACAAAGAAGTAAAAATAAAAAGACTCAAGCTGATATAGCTAGAAATATGTACTTAGTACACACAAACATTTGTGTTCATTGTGCAGCATCTAGAGTACGTAGTATGTCCATGGTACGCATATAGATTCTAGAACTTACTATACTGAGCTGGCAATATGGCTCAGAGGGTGAAGGCAACAGCTGCCGACACGAACATCCCAGTTCCACGTGGGACCCACACGGTGGGAGGAGAGAACTGACTCCAGCAAGTTGTCCTCTGGAACTAGAGGCAGGAGGATCTCTGAGAGTTCAAGGTCAGCCTGGTCTACATAGTGAGTTCTAGGCTAGCCAAGAATACATAATGAGGCCTAAAAAAGAAAATCAACTCAAAAGGAAAATGTTCCTTTTGCTACATGGTTCTTCACTAAGGAGAGCCAGAAGGGAGCTCAAGGCAGGTTCTGACCTGGAGGCTGGAGCCAACGCCCAGGGCTGACACTGCCCATATGGGGGTGGGCCTATCAACTAGTGATTTAAAAAATCCTCCACAGACTTCCCCATCAGCCACTCCTTTGAGGTTTCCTCTGCCCGGGGTGTCAGATTGACAATGGAGATCAGTCACCACAGGAGGTGTCTATATACGATCACAGTACCTTACCCTTACCCCCCCCCAGCTCTGCCCTCCACCCCTCTCTGAGTTAAGGACTGGAGAGAGGGTTCAGTAGTTAAGAATGCTTGTTACTCTTGCAAAAAGGGTCTCAACTTGTTTTCTCACACCCACATCCAGCAACTCACAACCTCTCACAGCTGTCTGTGGGTCCAGCTTTAGGGGATCTGACACCCTCTTCTGGCCTCTGTAGGCACCTGCATTCATGTGTACAGCTCCTACCTCCTGACACATGCATTCACATAAATAAAAATGAAGTAAATCTTCAAAAACTGAATTGAGCTGGGTGTGGTTTCAAACACCTTTAATCTCAGCAATCAAGAGGCAGAGGCCGGAGAATCTTAGTTCAAGGCCAGCTTGGTCTACTTAGTGAATTCCAGAGTAGCCTGGGCTATAGAGAGAAACTGTCTTGAAAAAACAAACAAACAAAAACTAAAAGGATAATAAAGCAATGAAGTACAACTCAACCTTGAACCAGGGACTAAAAACTTCAGACAATCGAGCATCTCAATACAGCAGGGAAGGCCAGGATGAAGGTGATGGCCCTTGTAATAAAACGCCCTGAGAATTTATTAGGAGAGAGAGGCTACCAGGCTGCCACAGACCACCTGGCAAGGAAGTTGCAGGTGGAGTTGCTGTAGTCAGCTGGTTAGAGCACAGCCACTGTCACCAGCAGAGAGGACTAAATGTGCCCGCCTGGGCCACCTGCTCGCCTCTTATGCTCAATTGGCTCCTCCCTCCCACAGCATGTGTGTGCTGCTACCATGTTCTGGCCAGATCCTCTTATTTCAAGGAACAATCAAGGCACCCTCCCCCCATAGACAGACAGACAGACAGACAGACAGACAGATGGACAGACTCATGTCGCACATACATGTGCAGATACATATATATACACATGCACACATGCATGCACCCACATGAGCACACACACACAGAGGTGTGCTTTACACACACACATCACACACATGCACAGACAACGTGCACACATGCATGAACACACACACGCCCACTGGCATGCCCATAGGCCTGCCAGAGCCAGACAAAACCTCCTAAGACTTGCGCCTCTGTCGACTCCATGTGTCAAGGCAGTCGAAGTGGACCACCACAGCCCTGAGGTAACAACAGCTACAGGAGACAAAGTGACCACCATTGTGCATATGCCAACCGAAATAAAAAATAGGACATGCGTGTCGCTTTGTCTTCTCTCAGAATTCGAAGTCTTAGTCAGAGTAATAAGCCAATAAAAAGAAATAAGATGCACAGAATTCTCTATCTAAAAACCCTACCCTAAAACCCCATCAGGAAACTCTAGGGCTGATGAACTCTAACAAAGCAGTAAGATACAAAATCTACATACACGTCCGGGGCCCAGGCTCAGCCATGTGCCTCAGGTCCACAAACCCAGGTTCTGTCCAAAGCCCTGCAACAAAGGAAGGAAGCGGGCATGCGCACAGCCTGATGGAAGGAAAATCTGCTCTGGGAGACTTAGGACCTTAGTGCAAATCCTCAGCGGTCCAGTCAAAGGCAGGGTGTGGCTGTGTGGGTGTGGCCCAAGCCTGGAGACTGGAGTGCTGGGCTCACTGGAGTCAGCCTAGATCCAGGCTCAGCAAGAGAACCTGTCTCAAAGGAGTAGTGTGCACAGTGAGAGCTGGACAGCCAAAGTCCTCCGGCTTCAGAATGTGCACATTGCCCATGCACAACCCACCAACAAAAAAAGAAAGGGAGGAACAAGCCGGGTGGTGGTGGCGCACGCCTTTAATCCCAGCACTTGAGGCAGATTTCTGAGTTTGAGGCCAGCCTGGTCTACAGAGTGAGTTCCAGGACAACTAGGGCTATACAGAGAAACCCTGTCTCGAAAAAACAAAAACAAAAAAGAAACGGGGGGGGGGGGGGGGAGGGGGGGGGGAGGGGGGGGGGTAGGGCAGGAGGAGAAAGGAATGAAAGGAAGGGTAGGAAGGAGGGAGGAAGAGAAGGACAGAGGGAAGGAAGGCAGGAGGAGAGAAGGAAGGAGGACGAAGGCAAACTTACCTGGAAGACACAATATAGCCCAGGACATGAGCTACCAACAGTTGCCCATGTGTCTCCTCCAGGCGGATACAGAGCTGGTGTGTGGCTTCCTCTGCTGTAGTGGCCAAAGGCACTGGCACAGTGAAAGAGGCCCACTTCCGGGCCTCCTCAAAGGCCAGCCTCAGCCTCCCTGGGTGGCCACACTCAGGGAGGCTGGCCCAGAGGACATCTCTCTGTCCTGGGCTCAGCATCCTCCTCTCTGCAGCCAGCAGCAGCTGGATGAACTGCTGGCCTTGACTTCCAGACAGGGCCTTCACCTCCCAGTAGGCGCTGGGGTCCTTGAGGGTCTGCTGCAGGCTGTGTAACACCTGCTGGCCTGAGCACGTAGAGATGACGAGATGCACTCTCGGAGGACACTTGAGCGGCAGCCAAGGGACCCTTGGAGAATGGCGTCTGGAATCTAGGTCGTCCACGGAGTCCAGGAGCAACACCAGAGACTCAAAGTTCCTCTGGGACACAGTGTGGAGGAGAGTGTGGAAGAAGTGGCCCACCCTGCTGTGAGCCTCCAGGACCTGGGCCGGGGGCAATGGCAGCCCATATGCCAAGCAAAGCTGGAAGGACAGGCTCCTGAGGAGGCTTCGGGCATCCAAGCTCAGCTTTGATGTCCCCAGCAGCCTCAGGACAGCCACTGTCTTGTGGCCAAGCAGCCCTGGTACCTGTTGGGCTAGCTTGCACATGAGGGTGGTCTTCCCGATGCCTGGTGGTCCAAAGAGAACCAAGGGAGTATGTGTCCGACTCTCATCCTGTCTGAGCCGCCGCCCAAGCTGGGCCAGGAGGTCCTGGTGGCCACAGAAGACCTTGGTAGACTCTGTGCTCTGCCAGAGGTGGTGGCGGATCTCTTGGTAGAGCCAACCCAGCTCCTGTCTGCCCAACTCCAGCTCTCGCAGCTGCTCCAGGACCTGATGGTTGGTCCTGGCCACAAACTGCTCACTCAATTGCTTCAGGTAACGGGCATGAGCCTTGTTCTTGGGGTTGACTAGGTCGCGGCTCCAGGGCAGGTGGTGGGACTTTAGGGCTCCAGGCTGAGCATCCAGTATGCGCCCTTTAAGACCACTGAGAAGACTCTGGGCATTGGTGTCCAGGCAGCCATCTGCCAGCCGATCCACCATCTTCAGAGAGCAATCATCCAAGATGTGTTTACTGAGGTCCTGTACATCTCTAAGGAAGACGGTAGCTCCCTGGTCCCCTCGTGCTGAGTTCAGTAGGCCGCGCTCGATCTCCCACTCAATGACTACAAAACAGAGAGGACAAAAGGAGTCATCGGAGTCACCGAGGCCAGAGGGGATGCTGGGAAACATGTTCAGAGGGACATAGGCTGTCAAGTTTAACAAATGGGACAGTCACTTGGGGTGGCTTGCAAAAGCCCATGTGGGAGGTTAGGATGTATGAGCACATGCTATGTGTGTGTGAGGGGGAGTGTGTGTGTGTGTGTGTGTGTATGTGTATGTGTGTGGGAGTATATGTAGGAGGTGTATGTATGTATGTATGTATATGTGTGTGTATGTATGTGTGTATGTATATGTGTGTGTATGTATGTATATGTGTGTGTGTATGTATGTGTGTGTATGTATATGTATATGTATGTGTGTGTATGGGGGCTGTGTGTGTGTGTGTGTGTGTGTGTGTGGCAGGGGTGGGGATAGGGTGGGGTGAATATTTACATATCGCACCTGTGGAGATCAGAGGCCAACCTCTGTCGTGCCAGGAGCTCAATGGCCAGCCAACCTACCCAAAATTGTGAGCTTCAGGTTCAAGAAGAGACTTTGTCTCAAAGTCTCATTACTAATGTCCTGCTCTGGCCTCCATTTGGAGCACCTGCACAAGCACATGCACCCACACACACACACACACACATACACACACACATACACACATACACACATGCACCCACACACACACACACATATACACACACATACACACATACACACACACATACACACATGCACACACACAGACACACACAGACACACATACATACACACATATACATACACATACACACAGAGACACATACATACACACACATACATACATACACACACATACATATGCATACACACACACACACAAGTCCACAACTGGAACAGCAGTGTGGGCCCACCTACAATCCCAGTCCTCAGGAGGATGGGCTGACCGTTGCTAGGCTAAGGCCAGCCTGGGCTACTAAACAATGACTTCTTTTTTACATTTATTTATTTATTAAGTTAACTGAGGGGCAGTGTTTGTGGGTTTGTGGGTGTATGTGCCACCAAGCTTGTGTGGAGATCAGAGGACAACTTGTAGGACTCAGGGCCCTCCTTTTATCATGGGGTCACCAGCCTTGGTGGCAAACACTTTTAGTTCCTGAGCCATCTAGCTGGCTGAGCATACACAATTCTAAGCCAGCCTGGATTACATAGAAGGCTTTGCCTCAAAAAAAAATTCAATCATACACGGTGTGTGATCCCATTGATAAGAAATGTCCAATGAAGCCGGGCGGTGGTGGCGCACGCCTTTAATCCCAGCACTTGGGAGGCAGAGGCAGGCGGATTTCTGAGTTCGAGGCCAGCCTGGTCTACAGAGTGAGTTCCAGGACAGCCAGAACTACACAGAGAAACCCTGTCTCGAAAAACCAAAAAAAAAAAAGAAATGTCCAATGGCAGCAAGCTAGACCAGGGGAACAGGAGTGGCTGCTTCATGGGGACAGCATCTTATTAAAGTGATAGAATGTTCTGGAATTAGACCAAGGTGGCAGTACATAGCATGGTGAGTATTAAATGCCCCTCAACTGCTTTACAGATGGGGATTTTAGCCCTGTGAGTGACACCTCAGTGTCTTCACACAGTCGATCAACAAACATTCTACTCCTGTATGTGTTAGCATCCCCAGTGCACATGAGGGCTTGGCATTGAGGTTACTTCAGGTGCCGAGTGAGGAAAACCATGCTCCCAGACACAAAGCAAGGGGTCATGGTGGCTGTGAAGGCAGAGGAAGGAGAAAGGGTTTTTACAGAGTTTGAAGTCTTTACTAACTAGCTGGGTGGGTGGAAGAGACTCCTGCAGTCTGGGAATAAGCTTGATGGACCAGAGAGGAGTCTGTGCATTTGGACATTCCGACACTGCAGCAAGAGGACAGCAGAGTCTGCCTGAGTGTGTCAGCGGAACTGTTTTTACAAGCACAAGCTGCAGGCCTGGCTTGGCGCATTACCACAGCTGGCAGATCCCTGTTGCAGGTTGTGCCTTAGCTGTCCCAGGACTCCTCTATCTTTTAAAGATTTATCTGTACACAGCCTTCCCTGTCCTTGCTACACAGACTAGGCTAACCTCAAACTCAGAGAGTTTGCCTCTGCCTCCTCTACTGGGATTAAAGGACCACTGCAGCTGGCTTGTCTTTCTTTTTTACTTCTGTGCATGTGTGTGGGTGTGTGGCTGTGAGGAGGGAGCCTGGGAAGCAGAACAGAAATCAGGTCCTTTAGAATGTAGGATTTTCCGGTCTCAGTTTGAATTTAAGATTAAAAGAATCCAGCCGGGCGGTGGTGGCGCACACCTTTAATCCCAGCACTTGGGAGGCAGAGGCAGGCGGATTTCTGAGTTCAAGAGTTCGAGGCTAGCCTGGTCTACAGAGTGAGTTCCAGGACAGCCCGGTCTACACAGAGAAACCCTGTCTCGAAAAACCAAAAAAAAAAAAAAAAAAAGATTAAAAGAATCCCACTGTCCCAGGATACATCCCGGGGGGTGGGGGCACATTCCTTAGTCAGAGGACATTTGCTAGATTAACATTCAGAGGAAAAAGGGAGAGGCTGATTAACATTCCTCAGACCACAGGGGAGGGAACCCACCTGTGGGTGAGGAAGGCCCAGAGCACACAGACACATTCCAGGACACTCATTGTCATAATCTGAGTCACCTAGAGACCAGACTTTGTGGTTTCCCCTCGTGAACTCTGTATAAGAACTGCTCCCAGGTTTTGTTCGGGGCTCTCTTGCCTGCATGCGAGAGAGTCCTAGTGCGCTAGTATCATTAAACCTCATGTTATTACAGCGATTCCCAATTGTGTGTGTTTCTGTGAGAGAGCATCCCCTGGTTTTGGATCTTAAGAGTCAAACAGGAAGACCAGCCAGCGCTCTCCTGCTGAACCAGCAATGCCTACAGACTTTTTTTTTTCACCCTGAGCTCCCACTGACTTGTCTCAGGAGGCTCTTGTTTTGAAGCAGCAGCCACGTCTGAGGAGTTATTTTCGAAGCCTCTCTGGGGCTCAGTGGAGGCTCCCAGCTCTCGGTAGATGGAAGAGCCAAGCCCTTGGAGATCCTACATTCCAGTCAAGGACAAGAGTCAACTGAAGTACTTTCCAAGACAGACAGAAGAACCTGATGCTGTCTGAAATCAGGTTAATTGGAAAGCACCATTGTTATGTTAAGTTCTGAGTCTTGGGGCCTGCTCAGCAGAACTCTTTATATAACTTCCTGGGCTGTGACTCGGGAAAGAGATCTATGACTCAGAACACCGCCTTGTGTGCAGGAAGCTTCGGACTCTGTGGTCCCACCTGTTGAAGTTTACCATTGTCAGATAGCCTTATGAGCTCAGCAGAAAATGGCAAGCTCCCCTTGTCCTCTTTTCATTCTGGGGATCCCAGACCCCACACCCTATACCTACCAGAAAGTCATGTAGCCTTGGTTAGATTACAGTTTCACCTTTCTTTGTCCTAATAAGAACCTGTTCAGCTAGGACTTGAGATTCCTGGAATGCCTCCCCATGCTAATGAGGCATCATAATCCGTTAGCCTTTAGACCTTTGCCCACTGTGGATAGTCCTACCCCTAACCCCAAAATGATGTAACCCTTGATTTACCCTGAGTAAAGTTTATGTGTCTCCCTGAAGCTGGTTCTGGTGTTTCATTATTATTGTTTGTAATAATAATGGGCCATCCAAAGCCCTGTTCATTAACTCTGCCCCATCATCCTCGTGGGCCAATGACCAGAGGGAGATGGGAGACCCACGGGACTCCACCCCCAATACCACATAACCCAGCATGCTCATCTGCCATCGCAGTATTCTGGAGGCAGACACAGGGGCATCAGCAGTTCAAAGTCATCCTTGACTATATAACAGGTTTAAGGCTAGCCTGAGCTACATGAGATCCTATCATTAATTAATTAATTAATTAATTAATTCGTGAGGATCCCAGCTGGTGCCCTCAGCACTCACATAGGCATGCTGACTGTAACCTAGCAACACTAGAAATGGAGACAAAGGCCCTGGGGAGCAAGCTGGCCACCCAGACTAGCTTAATCCGTGAGCTCTGGGTTTAGTGAGAGACTCTGCCTCAATGTACACTCAGAAGATAGCTGACAATCTCAGGCTACACATTTGCACCACACTTTTATAACCGGTGCACACGTGAGTACACACACACACACACACATTGTGTTCTAGGGTCAGTGAGCATCAGCATTTGATGGCCCTCGCCATCGAGCTTGGCAACCTAAATTCAACTCTTGCAAATTGTCCTCTGACCTCCACATGTCTCTGTGGCTGGCACACACTCCCCAGCCAGTAAATAAATGCATATATAAAGAAATAAACACAGCCAGGCATGGTGGCATGTGCCTTTACCCCCAGTACTTGGGAGGCAGAGGCAGGCTGATTTCTGAGTTTAAGGCCAGCCTGGTCTACAGAGCAAGTTCTAGGACAGTCATAGTTACACAAAGAAACCCTATCTAGAAAAAAAAAAGACACTCCCCCAACCAACAACAACATTATCATCATCAAAAACAACAAACAGCAAAAGAAAGAAAGAAAGAAAGAAAGAAAGAAAGAAAGAAAGAAAGAAAGAAAGAAAGAAAG